CAGCAAAAAATAATAAAATAAATAATTTCCATCATAAATGGAGCCTTCTCTCCCCAGTACTTAGATGACTCAAACTGTATTGACTTGTACCTGACATTATCTGTACATTATCTATTTAATGAATTATGCATGTTTATAAATATATTAATACAAAAATATCTCACCTGTACATCGTGTAGCCATATTACTTTAAGCCGTACGTATCACGGCTTGGTATATCTGCAATATTGTAATCTTGGGAACCAATTAAAAAAATTTTTAAAAAAGAGTATCGCAGGTATAGACTTGAAACTAGTATGTATGTAAGCAGTTATTAATATTCATAACAATACAGTACGGAAATGGGATTTGGATCAATGGCAGCCAAAGTGGTTCCTGTCACCATACCAAGAACTTATGGTATCTCTGCTACCTGCATATTTTAATGAGTAGCAACTTAACAAGAACTATGCAAGTACAAACACAGTTCCACTGAGTGAAAGGGCAGTGGGGTAGCCTTGTGGTTAAAGTGTTCGCTCGTCACACAGAAGACCCGGGTTCGATTCCCCACATGGGTACAATTTGTGAAGCCCATTTCTGAGGTCCCCCCTCTGTGGTATTGCTGGAATATTGATAAAAGCGGCGTGAAACACAACTTATTATATTACAAATTGAGTCAAATTGGTATTTTCTGTAACAAACTTTCTTTGGACAATATCCCGCACCAAAATGACCAACATAGGACAAAATCCCATTTTTATATGTTATTGCTACCCTTGTTCGCCAATTTTAATTAACATGTTTTCATGACAGAAGCCAATGAGATAAGTTGATTAGCATGTTTTATTTGCATGTTTTCAAGAGCATTAAGGGAGGAGTTAAAATAGTATTAGATGGATGTTTGTACACTAAGAAGGTTACAAATAAGAGCAGTATGAGGTGGGAAGGTTCAAGAAAAATTGCATTATAATGTCGTGGGTCCATGAATCATCGTTGACAATGGAGAATCCGGTTCTTGATACATCTTATAGTCATCCAGCTTACGAGTCATATGTAGAAGTCATGAAATTGATTATGTAACTGGAAGAAGAAGCTCATGCTGCTATCATAAATGGGTAAGCCACATCAACTATTGTCCCATACCTAGAAGGCCCCAGGTGAAGTTCGTGCCGAAATAGGAACACTTGAGACTGTGAACAGAAATACGCGACACAAGTCTGCTTTAGATGATTACATGTAGCATGAAAATATGCCTGGAGGATGCATTATGTTATGAGATTGCGTTGAATCATGTTATTAGTGCTTATAATCAATACTGCTTATTTATGACGAAAAATAAATAGATCTATTTCAAAATAAATTGTATGTCATATTTCACACTGTTGGGATTTTGTCTGCAGTGTTCAGACATTGACCTATGGGATTTTGTCCGGGTAGGATTTTGTCACACCCACCTCGACTTACCCCCCAAAAATTAAAATAGTTTGATATGCAATAAACTTGACGCGAGGTTAACCCCCTATTGCATCTCATTCGCCATTTCTAAGGAAACCAAAGAAACGATTGCTTTAGTAATCAACGAAATCAAGACTTTAAGAAATCAAAGACTCAATATAAACTAAATCAATCAATACCACTGACAAACAAAAGTGACTGAACATATCAAATCAGTACTATACGAGTGTCGGATTAACGAGAGCTGACTGTATGTACATCGTGCGGAAATAAAACTGATTAGATTTGTGACCTTGACATTATGACTAAAAAGATTAATCCAAAAATTATGTCCCGTCGTCTTGAATTAAACATTATATATGTTAGCAATCAAATGTGTATTGGCCTTGTACCTTTGATTATAGAAATATTTTTAAAGAATCAATGAATAATCGTTGTGTAAATATCTTCAATACGGCTGAAATATTGGGAGCAGGACAAAAGCCACCCGGACAAAAACCACCTGGACAAAACAGGTTGAATATGTGATATTCTTGATTAAATTATTCTTGATTAAAGGAGTGTGTATGTTTATTCTTTCTTATATGTGTGGGATGTGGACATCGTACCTATACTTTAAAATGTGATTTTGTTAAACTATTTAACCGCTCATATTGTATCGTTCTGTGTAGTGATGTCTTCTCTAAGAAAACATGCTAGTTATAAGCCATTGTCTGTGATACTAAAGTTCTTTACTATACATATTTCTATCGGATTTATAGTCTAAATGTATTTTTCCTGAAATATTGTCAATGTAACTGTAAATATTATCCGACTCACTCGAAACAAGAGTAGGGGTGGGGGGTTGGGGGTTTACAAATAAAAATTAAACCTTATGCCGATAACTAGATAACTCCGACAACAGCGCGGTTAAATTAATTCATGAATACGAAATGTTTTCTCATAGAGGCTATAGCAGCACAAGCGTTTGGACACGTGTAAGCAGGTCATGTGTGCGACCACTTCCTGCCTACCTCTGCTCAGGTAATTAACCGTACGTAAAGAAAGTAATTCCACCGTCTCGATAGCTCACCTGGCCTCTAGATTGTTGTTTTCTTATATTGTCTAACACTCATCCGGGAGGAAAACACAATTCAGTATGGTGTGTTCACACTTTCAAACTGTCAACACATAATACCTTTGCCGAACCGTGAAATCCTCTGCGGTTAATTACCTCGGGGAAAACTAGACAGGATTACTTTAAGGTCTGTAATTTCTCTGATAGGCAAATTCAGCCGTCTACAGTAGTATTTGTAACATTTTCCCGATCCGTGAATTTCTCGCAGCAATTGATTATGAACAATTGCCATGAACTATAATATAGAGAAACGTTTAATAATCGACGAAATATATAATGAACGTAAATTTGTTTAACGATTTGCTTTAAATATATGTTATTTCTTATAATTTATGGTTAATTATTTCGCATTACCACGAAGTCCTGATTCACAGTTTGACACCCCTATGGGTTATATTTACATTCATGTATGTTTGAAAACATTAGCCCACGGCTTAAATAACCATGTTATTAAGGTCTATGATATTATAATATATTCTTAAGCTGCATCCTCTTTCCAGTACAGCGTTTTGTTGTTTTGTTTTTAGTTATTCATTCAAGAATTAATTAGCTATTAGTTGTACCACCATTTCTGAATCTGATATATTCCATGCATAGATTCAGAGACCAAAGAAAATAGTCTTATATGGGATAGAAATAAATATTATTCGTCTCACCGGGTTGAATGTGAAAATAATTTATTTTCAAAAGCAGCTTCAACTGGCTTAAAACATACAAAAATGAAATGCGTTATACATGTCTACTGATGATACACGACTATGTCGGAAATAGTTTAGCAAAATCACATTTTAAATTATAGGTACGATGTATATATCCCACTCATATAAGATAGGAAAACACATACACGCTCCTTTAATCAAGAATCCTTTAATCAATATCACATATTCAACCTGTTGAAACAACAAAATGAGTTAATACACTCAGACTGGTTAATTTCCCTCGCCGATGGATTACGACCCCTGACCTAATCGTGTCTAGGTCGCTGTGAGCTAATTAACCGTGGGGATTACACGCTCTATTGCACGAATTGTCAACGCGACAAGACCGCCGCGTGAAGCACTACCTGTGTGTATTGTCTCAGTTCAGCGAGGAGTACGACAAGGATCAAACCTTTCTCGTCAGCTGTTTGCTGGACGGGTGGGGAGACGGGTGAATTACCCTGTAGATGTCTGGCTGATAGCACACGAACTTACGGTGTTTGCACAACAACCAGGAGTGATGTTTGAAGACACTGGTAATGTTTACGCCACGGATGAATAATTCCCGTGATAAATACGACACTTCTACAGCATATATTCTCGAATTAAATAAATACGCATATATAGATTTACATTATTTATAATTATTGAGAAATCATAGATTCTTACTCTATTACCGAAATAAGAAATATGTAAAACGTCTGTAAAAATATGTAATTATATATGATATTCTTGATATATTGTCTTTGGAATTCAAACACCTAGGCGTAGCTAGAAACTATCCAAACGTCGCACTCACGAAATCAAAGAAGTTGTTAGTTGTTATCCATACAGTTTGTTCAATATTGTACTTCCCAACTTCTAATATGCCACTCTCAGAAGCCAACCGTAAAATCATTTTTCAACAAATATTGAATTTAATGTCATATTGTTTTGTAGAGTTTATTTTGACAACTTTAAAAAAACGTTGTTACCTATCTACAACAATTGTAAAAATAATATATTTATAAAGAGCATATTATCCACCGTAGAGATGCTCAGTGACGCTGTGACAATATTGGGGAAAGAAATAGTTCATGTAGGATTTACAGAAAGTCAGCAGTGTTTACAGTGTGTGTTTTTTGTGTAGGTTTATGTGTGTCTGTGTCCCTGACATATACCCACCCCCACCCCAGTAAAAATCTCAATGACACTAACATGTTTAATTACTATCAAAGCTATCAAGATTTCGCAGCTATTCCTAACATAGACACACATCTAGAGTTCTAATGACAAAACAAACTAGACGAGATCATGATTGTTATTAACGGCAATTTACCAGGCGGTCATAGCTGTGTTGTCACGTGACTGTCTCGCACCCCGGCCCGCGATATCTGATTAGCTCTCGATTCCAGACGTCTGGCTTTTCGACCAATCACCGACCGAGAAAAGCTTACTCACGAGCAATTCGCAAGTCTGATATCAGCTGCGTGTCTGTGGTTATTACAGGTATATATACCTTCATATCAAGTATTGCTGTCAATGTGTGTTTCATGCTACATCTTCCCAGCATCACCAACATTTGGCGACAGGATTCTTCAGAATCTAAGTTTGAAGCACTTGCTATTTACTGGAAGTGGACATTATTTCATATTACTACCTGTTGTATGATGATAATGAACGGAAGTGACGTCATGTCCCCGGGGGGTGGGGCTGCATCCCTACCCACTTCTTCCAATTCACCGACCGAGTCAGGATTCTCGCAACCACAGATGACCAGCAACGGTAAGTTAACTGTCATAGTCCAACCCATTAGAAAACATCCTCTGACCTTTTTCCAAACTGAAAATGAAGCATACAAAAACAGTCACCCGCAGCTCAATCAGATTTGATTATCGATTGCCAACTTCAAAGGACAAGTACTTTCTTTCACCAAAGTCTGACCTCTTGATATATTTCATAATTTTCACTTGGTAATCGAATTTCAAATCACAACACCTGCTCTTGGTTCTGTTACATACTCGGTTTACATTATATAGTGTATTAAAGGGTTTTGTGTGTTTGTATTTCTTAGAACTGAGTTATGGTAGAATATAAGATGGCATTTTAGAAATACATCTATGTTTTGCTAAAAAACAATTTCCCTTCAGAATTTCCGTTGAGACGTAGGGTGAACTTTCAGAAATACTCTCTCTCTCTCTCTCTCTCTCTCTCTCTCTCTCTCTCTCTCTCAGATATTCTTATGTTCATGCAAACATCTCAACTGTCATATCTCTTCTGTCAATGATCGTTATATGTTGCTTGGTATAGTTTTTATAAAATAGTTATTATAAAATATTTCTCAAATGTATATTAAAATCTAAAGACAAAATTGTAATATAAAACTATCCTTATTATAACTTAAAACATCTTCACTTGCTTCTAATCGTCATATACTTGTATCAAAAGCGTATAAACATATGTGCCAAGTGCGCGGAAATTTATGCAAATTCTAACCTTCGAGCAGACATTTCTTGACCCCGACACATCGAGAAAACGTGCCCAAAAACGGCGCACGTTTCTCTCTCGCTCTCTTGCACCGTAATCGTACAATCAATTCTGCTTTTGAGATATTTTCCTATGAAAATGGAACGGTTTTGTTCCTGTTGTTTACTAATATATAATTATATATTATAACATTAGTCTGTTTGAATTATTTTGATAACTGCAGTTCATTTCATCATGATACCCGGTTTTGCAAAGTGTATTCATTGCCTATTGTACCCGACATTGGTGTTTACAGGACCACCATTGTGTACCGGGTGTGGGCATGTCATCTTGGATGAGTTCATCCTGCAGGTTCAAGGTCGTCTTTGGCACTCTGCCTGCCTCCGATGCTGTGTGTGTCACGAGAGTCTCAGTCAAACATGTTTCGCTCGTGGAACTCAAGTATTTTGTCAAAAAGACTTCTTCAGGTAAACATATCAAATACACTGTGTACGAAAATGTATAGAAAGGCAATACTGAAATTTCTTCAAAGGCATTTAGAAGTTAGTGTAGTGATACAAGACAAATATATGGACGACAACTTCTTTATTTGTTTGTCACGACGTTTGTGAAGAAGGGGCAAGAACTAGCCCAGAAACGTCGTGTGAAACAAATAAAGACGTTGTTATCCATATATTTGTCTTGTATTAAAGGCAATATTGTATTGAAAGCGTATTATGTGCGTAAGGTATTGAGAAAATTGTCAAAACTATATTATGAGTTAACTTCCCCAGAAAATAAATACCCTTTGTGTATTAAGTACAGGATAATGGGACGATATTTCAGATATTTTCAAATCAACAATTAGTGCTGGCAATTGTTTATTAATTCCTGCAAAAATACTCGTTCTCTTCCGTAAATCTTATAACTTTAACATAAACTATTAGAAGCCGGATTACAAATCTGATGGTAATTCAAAACAGACATTATGTATATATTTATTCACCCAACATGCAAGTACGTACATGCATTGTAATGTGAATGTCGTTGTTAACAGATTACTCGGCACCCGATGTGCTGGATGCGGGACCGGAATACCACCCTCAGAGAATGTCAGAAGGGCCCATGAGAATATCTACCATGTGACCTGCTTCACGTGCGTCGCATGTGACATTAAACTCGAGACCGGCGACGAATTTTACCTTCGAGATGACGGGCGCCTCATCTGTAGTCATGACTACCACAGTGACAAACACACAGGTGAGAACATATAAGTGCTACCTTCCCCTCTCACAATTACAGAAAGTTTACCTTGATACTGACTCGCCAGACACCGTCTGGACTTTAAGCATCATTTATTTTAGCATTTTATATTTAAACATTACTGATGAAAACTTTCAATACGCAACAGTTTATTTTATTAGACAAGATTAATTTTTATATTTCACAGATTTTGAAAATTCTAAAAGTAATGTAATTGTTTGATCGGCATTCTAGAAGTTGGTGAGCTAAAAACGAAGCATACAACTTTATGGATGACAACTTCTTGTTCATTGCAAAGGGCGACGGTGTAATAATCTACATCGAAACGTTGCTCTATGCAATAAACACGTTGTCATCCATAAAGTGGTATGCTTAATTTTTAAGTAAAATAATTCAATTAATATCTGAAAAGCGCTGGGGGGTTTCTTATCCGCCGAGAGAAGTAATGATTTCACTTCAAAGAAAATTCGGGCATATCATTTATTGTAAGGTAAATTAAAAAGACGAAATAAGGCCGAACACACACTGCATATACAGGAGAATAATTCAGATAAGACCTGGAAGAAGAGTTATAGTAATACAGTTATTTTACTCGCTACCATGTAGAATTGTAAACACAAACATGGATGGCCTTGATAACATGGTATTTGCTATTGAAAGTTAAATATCATAAAGTTATAAACATGTAGCCGATCCGTTTGAAACTCAGACAGTCTGATTACAGACCCTCGCGTGTCTGATCCTTACCCCTTGAGCGTTTACATGGAGCGGGGGATCAGAGAATATGGTAGGATTAGCCTATAATGGTAGCCTATTGTATTTGCCGAAGGTGGTCAATCATTGCAGTGGATGGTCGAGCGTAACAAACAGCAGGCCGGTCACTCATTGTTCATGGTCACTTGAGTGCAGGTGGAGGCGATTCCTCGGACGACAACAGGTGTTCATGTGGTCAGAACATTTCTACTGTGACTATGCATGGCCTTTGTTGTCTCATTTTGTGTCATTTGGTGCTAGGTTTGTTGCTGTTAGCATCCACTCTAGGCATATTTCGGGAAGATCTTAAATCTTCTCCGGGTCATTATACAAACCTACTTCAGCTCTTGAAACAACTACCTGACCAAAAATAGACCTTTTAGGGTCAGAACGTTTGTTTCGTCAAGACCTTAAGATATTTTGTCAAAATATGTTTCATATAATTATAATTATATGTCCTTGCGTATATTTTTGTCAAGTCGCAAATAGCTGCAATGCCTCTGATGCTGCTTAAGGCAAAATGTACTCACCAAATCTCTCCCTCATATGTTCTTGAAATCATTTGAACCTCCGATTCCCGATAGCCTCGTGAGTGTAACTTCAGTTCGTTCCAAATTAGGAGGAACAAGCCTCTAGGACGAACACCGGATTTTGACTATAGTTACTTCGTCATGGCCGGTGTTATTGCTACACACAACTGTCCACTCTGGAGTTGTTTTGAGTTGTACTTTTTATGGACATCGGCCTCCAACTTTTAAAGTCCCAAACTCCGAAACTTATGGACATGACAAGACTAGGCAGTTCCGTCAAATAAATTTAGCATAACTTACATGCAGTTGTGGGTATAGTTGAATTTTGGATAGTGTAAAGGAATAATGTAACGTAAATGTTCTGTGTCTATCAGAGAACATACACCGGTAGGGATGACAACTTGCTGATTGCATTCGTGACATTTCATGCAGAATTTTTAACACATAGATCCAATAATCCAGAAATGTCTTCTATAACGTTTGTTCTTTTATTTACTCACCAACTTCCAAAAAGCGACCAGTCAATTGCATGTTATAAATACGTTTCTACCTGACCTCACGATTGACCACGAGTACCCCAAACGATCGATATTTCGTTGAAATTACTTGTCCTAAATATTCCCGTGGTAGGCATGTGGTGAATCTTTGAAATCAAAGCCGTTGTTGACTTGTTGTTACACATACTTGACATTTCAAAATATGTCATTAATTCCAGGTGAAAAGGAGACTCTTGACCTTCAAGAAAAGAAATCGAGGACCTCCTTGACAGATCTCCAAATGGACATCCTGACAACAGCTTTCACATCCTGTTCCAAGCCTTCTCGACAGACCCGGGAGAGTCTAAGCAGAGAGACCGGTTTGGACCAAAGGGTCATTCAAGTTTGGTTCCAGAACAAGCGGGCCAAGTGTAAGAGAGATCACACTGATGCTTCAGACGGGAACAACAATGCATGCGCAGATCAACCGGAAGTGAACTTGGACCAGGTGGCAGCTCCACCTGGTGGATTCCCGCTACCTATAGTGAACGGAGGTAAGAGACGAGAAGATATTACACTGTCCTTTCCAAGAGCAGTGGGGTAGACTAATGGTTAAATTGTTCGACCTTCACACCGGTCATCCGGGTTCGATTCCCACATGGCTCAATGTGTGAAGCCCATTTTTGATTTCCCCCGGAGTGATATATCGCGAATATTGCTAAAAGCGGTTTAAAACAATAACTCACCCACCCATGGTCCTATCATGTCCTTTGTCCTCTCCCATATGTTTCATCCCGTTTGAATGCCGGATTAAATGTCGTCCCCAGTAACTATGATTGTTGGTGATAGTTGTGTGGTCAGGTTCTGTAACTAGCGTCAGACCTTTTCTTTCGCGTACCGAGACACCATGTGGCGTTGCTCATCTCAATCACTAGTTTGTTTAGTCCAAAATCCAAATGGTCCAAATGTTGAAGTCGACGTGACGTAGCTGGAACATTATTGATGCATAAGAACAACAATCAACCGTTATTTGATTTTGGCGAGGCAGTTCCACATTGATATACACCCATTCAAGAGATTCAGCTGAATTCTAGTGCTACTGAAAGCGATGGTGTGATGATGTGATTTATATTTTATTATTACAGACTGCTTGGAAAGTCACAGACAGCCCCAGACTCCATGCGACTTTTCCCACCTGGCCGAATTCCTGAACGTCCCGTTGCAGTTGTCCGGCATTGGTGGACATCCTTGGACAGCAACCCCGGACATGTGGGATGCAAATTTTGTTCCCCCAAACGTCGACCTTGACCCTGCTGATCTCAAGGACGGGGAAGTGTGTTCAAGTCGACGCGGTGATGTCTCGTGGGAGACACGTGACCAGCTGGTCAACTGCAGACAGTGACCTCCCTACTATAGACTTGAACTAATCCGTGCTGTTGTTGTATGTACATATGTTTATTTCTCTCGCTGTGAAAGTAAAGACAAAACGTACGAGTACGTTGACAGAAATATATAAGCCGCCTTGCAATAATTGCGAACATGGACACCCGATTCAAGGAACATCCATCCGCAACGATTCCGAGAGTTCACGCTACTCTTGGGCCCAGAAGTTCTGATTGCATCGGGAAACGAACTATCTCTTCGAAGTGCCGAGCGAACACCTTGCTATCTTACCTCTGCACCTTCCACGAACTGTGTCAGTTTGGTGTTTTGATAGATAATACATATTTATGCTTGGATAGATGTATATATTTATGCTTGGATAGATGTATATATATTGGTGCTCCCATTATTTATGACGAATGACAAATTGGAATTTGAATTAATAAATTTTTCCAACAGTTTCAATGTTTGTTACAACTGGCTTTGTAATATCTTGTGGGGCCGCACACACAGCTTGTATATTGTTGTGAATGGCAATTTGTGAAATACAAGTGTAATAAAATATAAGCAATATGAGCTATGTGCCAGCGGACACTACGACTGAAATGACAGTCACACCTATTTCCCTTGAGGACATCGACCTGGATGTGTCACTAGGTAACAGGGGCGGTGGGGTAGCCTAGTGGTTAAAGCGTTCGCTCGTCACGCCGAAGACCTTGGTTCGATTCCCCACATGGGAATAATGTGTGCAGCCCATTTCTGGTATCCCCCGTCGTGGTTATTGCTGGAATATTGCTAAAAGCGCCGCAAAACAAAACTCACTCACACACCAGGTAACACACGGGAAAAACACAAGCGGTCAACATGTGATCTTTTGGAAAATTAAATATTGTGCAAGCAATCATATTCCTTCTTTGTAGCCTGTTAAAAATGGCATATATTTCCAAATAAATATGGCGTACAGGCCACCATTTAAAATATGTAAATACTTTATTTGCCATTATGAATGGAGTCCTTAATTCTAAAACAGAATGTCGATGGATCCATATATCAGATATTCAGTATTGCCAGATATATCGCTGTTGTTTTAATTTCTATAAACTATAAACATAAAAGAACACACTGAATGAAAATCGGGTTGCCTTGTGGTCTTAGGTCTCGTGTTTGTTGTGCGGGGCTGTTTCAATAGCAACTAGCCTATGGTAGTGGGTTCGTTAAGGTAAGGAAGAGGGCGGTGGGGGTAGTCTAGTTGTTGAAGCGTTCGCTCGTAAATCCGGGTTTAACGACCCCCCTACTCATATTTCTGGAATATTGCTAAGATATTCAGGGCTTGCCCAACATGGTGATCTTTAGCAAAATGACTGACTGAGTTTGGTTTTACGCCGCTTTTAGCAATATTCCAGCAACATCACGGCGGGGGACACCAGAAATGGGCTTCACACATTGTGTCCATGTACTTTTTTATAATGGTATCTACGCATTTGATATTGAAATATTTCGGCGTAAAAACTAGCAGTTTAAGGAAAACAATTACCTGATAAATCGTACGAGTGATAAATACAATACACAGACATGATACGTCACTAAACTATTTTACAAACGTTATCTAGCCTTTCCACACAAGAAATTAAACTAAGAAAGTGATCTTCAGTCCACATGAACATATTTGAAATATCTTTACATTCAGGCATACTAGTATATGAAATGCAATGTAATCGTAAAATAAATTATGTCGGGAATATATTCTTTCAATGTTTCAACCCTCACAGAAAAATATATTTACCTCGACGTATCTCAGATGTATACAAAAGTAATTAACTTCTCAGTGTTGGCTAACAAAGCGATACTCTCCCGTGAACTGTCAAATACAATCAATCACATCATATCATAAACATTCCGTCAAAATCAGGTTGTTTGCAAAAAGATTTTTTCTACAATTTAATAATCTTGCTTTAATTTGCAAAAATGTTCCATTACATCATCTCATTTGCTTATGTCAATTATGTTAATTTTTTAAGTGGAAAAGAGAATGCATCACTTAACAGGGGCATAATTTAAACATATCTTGAAATGAGCGATTTTTTTAAGTGATCGATCAACCAAGGTTATCGGAGCAGTTGTTATCATAGTGCAGCAGGCAGGTGTTCTGTGGGCACAGCAGAGATATCTAATCTGTGTGAGGGATGCTGAGACAGGTTAACTGGCCTCTCGCTTAGTATCTAGGGGGATCTGTTGACTGTCGCGATCAAAGAGGGTTCGAGGGGGGTGTTTGGAAAACTATTATGTTTGATTACGCATTGTTTTATTTGCATTATTTATACATGAATGTGTTCCTCCGGTATCCATGACACGTTGTGGGTTGTTATCGTTCTGTGATTTCCGTCATGTGATTGATTAACAGACGAAAATGATTAATGTCAGATCAATAATGTTCAACAAGAATCTACTCCAAAACTAATTTGAATTGAATTTTGTATACTTTTGTATTCGTATATGATTTGATATGTGGACTCCAAAACTAATTTGAATTGAATTTTGTATACTTTTTATATGAGCCAAAACTGAGCCATCATAAAGAATGCTTGAAATGTCGAATATACATTCACCGTCAGCCTTTAGGAGCGTGTACAATAGAGGGAAGTCATTTATTCGAACTTGAATAACTCATGGCGCGTCTGCCCCAGTCGATAGTAGTTTAACACTATGATTATTCATCCACTTCATACAAACTAACACCCATTTTGTTCTGCGAAGGTGGGGATCATCAACCTTGTACACATGTACTTGGGGGTCAGCAATTTCGTACATTAAACTATGGAATAAATAATGGTAAGGGTGGGTAATTGATTTTGTACATGACATGCAGGGGGTGGGGGTCACTTTCTGTGTACATAAATTTTAGGGGGTCATTCACATTGTACAAGCTTCTCCATAAAAATTATCATCAACATAATATTATCAACATCAACATATTCAGACGTCTTGCCGTGACTGTCAGCGTCGTTGAGGTGAGACAGCATACATCGGTATCTGTTCGCTGTTAGGTGAGTGGGTGAGTGAGTTTAGTTTTACGCCGCTTTTAGCAACATTCCACAAATGTCACTGCGGGGGACACCAGAAATGGGCTTCACACATTGTGCCCATGTGGGAAATCGAACCGGTGTCCTCAGCGTGACGAGCGAACGTCTTAACCACTAAGCTACCCTACCCTTTCGCTGTTAAGCTTACTCGCTGAATGGCACAAACAGAGAAAGATGGTATGTACACATGTATTATGTAACCTACCCCACTACGACGTCAAATCCTAGCGAGCTGTTGATTGGTTGATATTCCCAGACGTCTGGCTCATTGACCAATCACATTAAAGTATGCTTGTTGGCGTTTGACCTGTCTGTAGCCACTTAGACAGGAGCAATGACCAAGAAGTGGAGTTTAAAGTGTCTGTTCAAATACGTTGATAGTTTCCTCCACACACTTGACCACAGGCTGGTGGGCATTTATAGTCCATTATATTCTTATGACGAGACGAGACAGACACAATATCCAGAAGGTCAAACGATACTGAAATGATTCTAGTCAGTAGTCGGATAGGGTAGGTGGCGCTCTCAGGATGGAGTGACCTCCCTTCCTAATTACACATGGGGCGGTGGGGTAGCCTAGTGGTTTCTGGTCTCCCCCGCCTTGATATTGCTGGATTATTGCTAAAAGCGGCGTAAAACCAAACTCACTCACTCACTCACTCACTTACTCTTAATTACAATTAACATATATACTAGTCAAAAGAATTGAAGGATCACCCAATTCGTCCATATTACCAAGTTAATGAGTCATGGCATAATACGAACGAATATGATAGTCCATAACGTATCAAGAGTCGTACTTATACTTTTGTTAGGTCATGGACAATGTTTAGCAGCCGCAGCTATTCGCATATAACAAATGCCCTTCCTCGGAACATTTGAAAAGACCGACTGACTGACTGAGTTTAGTTTTACGCCGCTTTTAACAATATTCCAGCAATATCACGGCGGGGCACACCAGAAATGGGCTTCACGCTATAAGTACTCGAATGTGGGACATGTAAACCAGTGGTTGACAGTATGAGCAACAGCCCACATATACTGAGTCAAAAAAGAAACTTCACATTCTTTCTTCAGGGCACTTTAAAAGAACAAGAGATGGTAAGATGGTTAAATTGTTATTATTTCATTGCTGAGATCTGTGGGATATACTCTATACACTGACAGTGCCATAATCAGTTCCATTAGGCTACACCGCCGTTCCAAAACATGGGTATACAGAATGTCAAGTCACAAAAATGAAAATGCGAAATTTCTAAGTTCAATATCGTGTATGGCCGCCCCGCGCATTCACCACTGCCAAACACCGTCTCCTCATCGACTGCCTGATGCTTGTGAACACGTGGTTGGGGATTCTGCGCCATTGCTCTTGCAAGGCAGCGCCAAGTTCCTGCAAATTCTGATATTGGTTCCTAAGATCACGAAGCCTTCTCCCAAGTGCATCCCAAAACGTGCTCTATTGGATTAAGGTCAGGGGACCTCGATGGCCAGTCCATGACGTTGATTCCAGCGTTTTGAGGGAAATTTCGTGTCAACATCGCGGTATGCGGCCAAGCATTATCATGCTGGAACTGTAGATGGGCCATGAGCCGCCATGAAAGGAACGAGTTCAGGGTGAGCACCTGGTCGCGGTAAGCAGCAGCTGTGAGGTTTCAAGGATGACCCGGGAACGGTTGTTCCCACAGAAAGCACCACACCATGCAACTTCCGCCCCGAATCTGTCGACTTCACCTCACTACACAACATTGGGCATACCGTTCATTAACGTCGTCTCCAGACTCTATGCCTGCCGTCGCGAATCTAGGGGTAAACCTGGATTCATCGCTAAAGACGACTCGATTCCATTCTCATATAGGTGACAATGGGTCCACAGCAGACGTTGACGTTGATATTGCGTGAATATTGGCCTGTATATAACGTCGAGAATGGAGATTGGCAGCCTGCAACCGATTTCGAATGGTCTGTGAGGACAGTCAACCTCTAAACATCTCAATCGTGTAGCCGGCAGAAATCTGTCACAGTTGCCAACGGCACGTTTACGTTACAAATTGGCAATATATTGGCATTTCAATTACCGTTAGAACTGTGGTATAAAGTGACTGAATGCAAACACGTGTTTTGTGCGAAGATCACGTGATAGCACGTGCAAAACCTATTCCAGCTTTATGACGAATGGTGGTTTAGTGGGTTTTGCTAACGTTTTCTACTCGAAAGATGGGACATTTCGTAAACCAGTGGTTGATAGCATGAGCAACAGCCCAAATAGTTTGCCAAGTTAACAGTTTAGTTTGCCAACAACCACTATGGGCCGTCGCTGACTTGGGTATTGGGAATCGATTCTCAGCTTGGGTGAGAACCTGGTATATGGGTACGTGCGTGAGTTTAGCCTACTATATGCAGTTAAACGACACTTTCCAAGAAGCTTCACCGTGACCCGTCTGTACAAAGTAAGTCGATGAGGTAGGTTATATTTCTTTAACTCATTCATTGTTTACAACGTTTGGGCGATAGCCCAGTGGTTAAAGCGATCTCTCGTCACGCCGAAGGCCCCGGTTCGATTCCCTACATGGGCACAATGTGTGAAGCCCATTTCTGGTGTCTCCCGCCGTGATATTGCTGGAATATTGCTCAAAGCGACGATAACCTCACTCACTCAGTTAAACATATAACATTGTGCCATAAGAGGTCGGGATTGTTTTCAAAATCAATTTTAATGTATCAATGTCTACAATTCATCATCTGATCACAGCCTCCCCACGCACTATCACTGGAACAAACATCGCCATCGGTTAAGTCGAAACTTGACGGAAAATGCGCATCCCAAAATTCGGCTCCCCACGAGAAGTCAGAGAAAGAGGCTTGCTGGGGCGCACAGGGAACGGTATAGGGCACATCATGTGAAACTCCGGCGTCTTCAGAACCTGGAATTGTGCAACAAATGAGTGAATTTCTGGCGACATTAAGTACAAATCAAGACAAAAGTTGCATTCTAAAAGTCATTTATGTATAGTTATTTAATATTAATTATAATTCTACTTATGCTTATGTTATCAATGCGGTGGTTAACACTCAATAACACTTAATCAATTTATTACAAGTGTTTGTATTTAGAGTTGATAAATTAATCAACATGTAAAGATAAATCGCTTACTCTATTTTTCATTGTTCGAATATTTACCTTCAGTTCTTTTGAAACTTTATGGATTGGATTATTAAGATCATTTGAACAATTATTGGTTGTTTTACGAATTTGGATTTACTAGATATGCAGGAAGCAATTTCAATGTGTCAGATGTATTGATGTTCAAGAGAGGTGATATGACGTTCGCCTTCGTCAACTCAGAAGTAAAAAATCAGAAGCGAAAGGAATACTGGAGTACATGTATAATATAAAATTCAAACAAAATTGAAAATCATCCATGTCTTTCATATCATTGTTCACAATCTATCATGACCTAATTAACAGATTAACTATAATCAATTTAATTAATCAGGTGCTCTTTAACTTCTATTGAAGAGTATATTTTAGGCCAGGATGATAGATAAAACATATACATGTATCCTAAAGCCACGTTTCATAAGAGATATCGAAAACATAAGTTACAGACATCGGACAATGCATCACGACATTGATTGAATAAATCCTGGTTTCATGTCGGTCGAACATGTACTGACCTTTGCCCATAGGCGCTGCAGCCTCAGTGGAGTCGAAATCCAGTCGTTGGGGATGTTTTAAAACCATGGATGACTCAGGGGAATTATCTGGATCTCTCTTGGACTTTGCCCGCTTGTTCTGGAACCAGACTTGGATAACTCTCTCATCAAGATCGGTTTCGGTACTCAGGTGCTCTCGCATCTGCCGGGAAGGCTTTGAGCATGACCGGAAACTGTTGTTGAGTACTTCCGTCTGACGGGCTGTTAGCGTTGTTCGTGATCTTCTTTCATTCATACCCCTAAATCCGTGACCTGGAATAGACAAAGGGTGTTCATAGTAGTGCATGAGTCACATATTTACAAACACTACATATTGTACAGTCAACTCATACCATATATCGCATTGAATAGCGTCAAGATTGCTGACAGAAAGACAGACGGAATAGTTTATTTACATCTCACTCGCATACCTATAATACATATAAGTGATACAATATATAAAAGCGATTTATGAGAGAATTATAACACATAAGAGGACAATCTTTGTACAATGTAAACACACAAAAGTATATAAATTTTAAAAATGTGAAACACACCATACAGTTATTTGTACATTAAAAAGCGTCTATGTTCTAAAATATTACAGCAGGTTTGGGCTAAACTAAAAATAAATTTACGTAATGAAGTAATATTCACTCACTCGTACAAAAATGTTTTGACAACAATTCGGCTCTGTAGGGTATGTTTTTGCATAGTTTTCTTTTCACAAAGTCAAAGTTTAGACAGATTAAAATGAACATATCTAGAAGTTTACTTTAATTACATAAAAGGTGCCTTAAACATACGCAACTCTTTCTTGCTATGAACTATAGGTATAAAAACATACAACCTTCACTCGCAATTCTAAACTGTAAACGGCAACATTTATGTACGTCGGTCTGAAGCCTTTCAACTGAATAAACATTACTGATTAATTGAATGAACATATCGACGTTTAAGATGGTTACTCTCGAAGTAGTTGTGTAACTGTACAATACTGACACAATTTATGGATAAATACTTCTTTTGTTTCGCGAGTGCGCCGTTTCGATACAGATTCTTTTACCGTTGTCAACAACGTCACAAATAAAAGAAGTTGTTATCCATAACGATTGTCAATATTCAACTTTTAAAATGCCACTCAAAGAAGTTACGAGACTGGACACTTTGCATTGACAGTTTCACTGTTTCTATTTGTGTGTTCACGCAGTAATGGTCAATCGCAGTACAGGATGTGGAAGCGAACTGAGTTTAATTTTTTTAATAAAAAACCATTATTGGTTACACGTCGTGTCAGGTAAATGTTGGGACAAAATATAAAATGGCGCTAATGCCGAGAGATTCGTCACTTGATGAGCACGTGCACAATGGTGACTACCTTAGGATAATTATCGGAGAGTATTTGAAATTCGAGTTTACGAACAGCGGTTCCTGGTGTGGCAATGGAAGACAACTCTGAAGAATCGTTTCGTGTCTATTTTATCAGATTTATGAACAAATTATGGGGATATAGTTAAAGTGTTTCTAAGTCAGAACTATAAAAGGTCTCTAGTGACTCATGGATGATTCAAGCCTACGTTTCCATTTGTAAGCGATTGCGTATTAGTATTCGTAGACAATCATGCTTTTTGCAAATACTGAAACATGACGTCATTAATGACGTCATGATGATTCATGCGACGTCTGGAGAATGATATCACTGTTTTCCTTCCCATAGTGAACTAATGTTGAATTCCGAGAACCTGAATTTACGGCCTCAATATTTGCACTCGCGGCAGATAATTTTGAAATTCCTGGGATGTCGTAAATTATTCTAAAGATAATTTTCTTGTTAACGTCCTCACCTGCGTCCTTGTTGTTGTTGTCATGACTACAGATAAGGCCCCCGTCATCTCGCAGGTAAAACTCCTCCCCAGTCTCCAAGCTCATCTCACATATAACACAGGTGAAACACGACAGGTGATATATATTGGCGTGGACGCGCCGGACATGTTCCGTTGACTGTATAGCTCCTCCACACCCAGCGCACTTCGCACCAAGTAACCTGCTGGAATAAATAGACGCTAAAAATATAAACTTGTTCTTGATAAAACATTTATTTTATGCCCCATGTGAACGAAAATAGAGCATCGCGATAGACGTTGATGGTGACTGTGTGTCGGTGCTATATGTGTTATATACTCAACAACAAAAGTTCAGGACCACCCCAATATTCAATATTTAAGTATTGTTTGGATCATGATATGAACTATTAAATAATTTAATATAGAAAATAGGGATGGTCCTTGACATTTTTGTTGAGTATATATTACACACGCCGTGGTGATTCTGGGCGAGAATGGATACGTTATGCTAGACATGAGAGCCTACATTACATAGACCGAGTGCTCAGACTCGATACATCGTTCAGATTTGGCTGTTCCTAAATTCTCCAAAAGTCATTTATTTATGATTCTGCAAGTTTATGGAATGCTCTCTCCTCTACAACAAAATGTACAAATTCATTATCATCGTTTAAATCAAAGTTATCTGGAAAAAATGACAAGGTTCAAACATATTTTCTATTTGGTGAAAGAAAGACAAATATACTACACACGAAGTTCAGACATTCGTGTAGTTCATTACATGCTGATCTGTTTCGTGTTAATCTATCAGAGAATAGAGCAAGCAATTGTGGTGCTCCGGTGGAAGATGCTAACCCTTTCTTTTTAAAATGTTCAAAATTTGTCAGTTGCCATTTTGATCTGAAGCAAGACTATCAAAAGTTCACTTAGACATTGATACCATTCTTTAAGGCAACTCTGCTCTGCCAAATACTATTAATGAAAATATCTTTAGACATGTGCATAAATACACTGTACGAAGTAAGCGCTTCGATTAATCAATAATATGTCTTAATATTATTATGTCCATTCATTATTGTTAATGTTTCTGATGGGAGCGGGCGGTAATAAGTTACATAACTTGTGCCCAATCCATTTCAACACTGAATTAAATATTTTCAAACAAATACATCGTTTCGTAATAGCGTCTCTCACTCTATCAATCACGAGTTTGTCTGGTCCATAGGCGCTTATCAACAGGACACTGATATGGCTGGACATCAGTGGACAGTCAGTGGAGAAGACAACTAGCCTAGTACAGTTAACACATTGTTTGAAGATTTCACAGAATATCATAGGCGTGTATTGGGTCAACGACTGTCGAGTACCACATTTTGTAGGTAATGTATTTATTATGTCTTCGTAATGACCATATGTAATGATCGACAGTATAAAAGAATAACCAGCCTTGACTATCCTTAGAAACAATTTCCGTTAGGTGTACAGGGAAAAGATCTCTAAGAATGCTAAGGTTTTTAACATGTTATGATACGTCAAATAAGGATGAACTTGGAGAGAGCATTTCATTTAGTGACTATCATGTAATACAGGAAAATCGTAGATTTAACGTATTTAATTTTTCCACAACCAAATATTGAACCCAGAAAGTCTGCGATAATAACCAATCTACATGTAGTTAAGCGAGAGGTGAGGTGAAATTGGGTGTTACGTCGTGCTTGAGAATATTTCGCTCATATGACGACGTGCACTCGTGTGTATGGGTATGTGTGGCTGCTTGTACTAGCCCAGACTTAAGCTGGTTTTATAGTGCTAGCCCACTGAGATGCGGTCAGTTAAGTGAGAGTAAGACTGGAATTTCACATACCTGAAAAAGTGTTCGTGGCAATATAAGTGACGTCCCTCAGCATAGCACGTGTGAGTGAGGTATTCGTGGCATACAGAGCACCTGAGGCACCGAGAATGCCATGACCTGCCTTGGACTCTCGACACAAACTCGTCCAGGATAGCGTGATGACAGCCTGTACATATTGGGGTCCTGTAAGAAAAACAACAAATGTTATCGAAAATAATGACCGAGATGGATTGAACGCCGCCTAAAACAAATTATCAGTTATTTGAGTAACCTGCATCGATGTAGATCTTGACATTTACTACTTGTTACAGAAAACAGGTGAATCACTTATTCGAACCCCAAAACAGAAGATCCTGTTGAGACTAAGGGACACAACTCGACACATTCCTTAGCCTGCCGAAGACCGGTGGAAACCATACCATTGAAGTAAGATAAATCGCATGGTCGTTTTTGTTTGTCCTTACCAGTTGCTAAATGATCTGAACAGTTGTGTCAATAAGAATTTACTTCTTGATATCATTCTGGAGACTTATAAAGATAATTTCATATTCATAAAGACATAGCTATCATTGCTCAATGTTTGCAATTTCCAATTATTACCATAAGTATGTTACATCTTATAAGACTGTGGCGTAAGACACGTGAAGATCCAGGTTAGATTTGATCTTCAGTAACAATTGCTTGTTGTCAGGAGCAACTAACGGGACCGGAAGGTCAGGCTCACTGGCTTGGTTGACACATGCAATCGTATCCCATTTGCGTAGATCGATGCTCATGCTGTTGATCACTGGATTGTCTGGTTCAGACTCGATTATTTACAGACCATCGCCATATAGCTGGAATATTGCTGAGTGCGGCGTAAAATTAAACTCACTCACTCACTGTGGTTTAAAACAATATTCGCTCACTCAAATAGCTCTTACCGTGATCTGGAATTTGCAGTGTCAACCCTTCACGAGGAAAAGGACGGCCGACAAACGTCAACGAGCCATCACCAGGGAGTATGCCGGTATTTGCGTTCATTGCCATGTTACTGAGAGAGCTGGCGAGTATCAAACTGTTTAACAAACTTGCTCAAACGGAAACATAAAACACGTATGCTGCTTTCGTCTGTTTAAACATATGCTGAATATCCCTCCGTCTGTTGGGGTTTTATGGGGAGGATGTTCCCCGCAGCGACCGAGCAGATTGGTGGTGTTAAGGTCGTCACGGCGTCTCTCATTAATCTGGACCATGGTTTCAGACAGGCGAATTACCCGCGACGAGGCATGTCGTGGGCTATGATTGGTTTAGAAGTCCGGCGTCTTAAGAAAGCAACCAATCAGAGAAAGCGTTTTGTTATAACAGTAACGTGTTCACGAGAACGATCACACACGCGACGGCGCATTGACCTAAGACATTTCAATTATAGTCCTGTCTCCTGTGTTTTGATGAGGCAAAACCTCACCTGTCTAACTTGAAAGGAATGCTTTGATAGAAATTAAACATGTAGGTGTCAAATGTTTAATCTGGCATCTAAACGATCGGTCAGTCTCTTGGATAGCGCACGCATCGTCTTGAAAACTCAATCAAATCCAGCAAAACAATCTATTCGTGGTTGATTTGATGTAAAAAAATATTGCCTTGGTTGCCTTGTGTTTATTTTAATTAGATACGTACATTATTATTTTGATAAATGAATTCGTGCACTTCTCCTTACTGCAACTATTATAAACTAAGAGCAGATTGTTTATGTGGCCACGCCACTGAATATGCACGTCATTACCTCTTCGTATGTTCCAGATTTGATTATATAAGCGCAAATAAATTGTAATATACCAATAGCTTTTCATTGGAAACAATCTGATATGGAACATCTTCCATGAACCCTCTAACTCAATCTGATATCTTAAAATTAAAACCAGTTCATCAATTTAAAATTGAAACTAGACTTTTTGACTAAACAAATCATATACTATAACTTATTACACTTAAAACTATACTACTGGTGATGCCGACTGCAATTGTCATAAATGTATCTACCCATCATATTCTCAATCTTTTGACTACATGTCAAAACATCTATTTTCATTTGATATAGTTGTTTTTTTGTCTTCCTTGTCATGATAGTGTTTCATATATATATACTGGATATATACTGGAGCCGTCTTCATATAAGTTCTTTTGAGCTCGCTGACCAATCCAGTTCATGTACCTTTCAGGAAATAAATATGTTTATACCAATATTATAAAATTAATATTTTTTCCATGTTTAATGCTGTCCTACGAAACACTCTATCTCTATGACTTCAGTCTGAACCAGACAATCCAGTGATTGACACTATGAGCATGGGTCCACGCAGTTGGAATACGACGACAGGTGTCTGTTGAGTGCGCGTCAACATGACAACAAATGACTTACGTTGTCGTGTCCAGTCTCAATTATTTACAGACCAGTGTCATGTGTGGCATTAAACGGGAAACAAAACACCTTTATTGAAAAACGGGTTTTTTTTTTGTTTCGCAAGTTACACATACTTATGTGTCCTTAATGTAATATTGGGGCGGTCATGTTTTCACCATTGTTGCCATCAGTCATATATCATAGACAGGTGAATGTACTGATGCTGTTTGTGTAGGTATTTCATTACTGTTAAGTAATAAATAATAAAAATTAATAATGTTGTATATTAACATTTGAACAGTTTTGTTTTTTATTCGTCACGATATTGGGGAAATGTATTTCATCTCATGTGCTTAAAAACTGGGACATCAACCCACATTCGCCATCAGTAACAGTTTCACGATGATTAGAGTAGAAACAAAATAGATCAATAGATCGATTCACATTAATGTGTTCTCTCCCTTTTCAGATGATATACTAAAATATGTAAAAAATAAAACAAATATATAACCAGTCTGTTATGTGAAGGACAACCATTCGTTACAACACTTCACATTTTAATGTTAATGCAAGTACATGTATAAGCGCAAGCATAATTAGATCAACTATACAAATAATTCGTCGTTTCACAAAGCTACCTGTAGACGTACCTGTTACTTCACAATGGACTTATCTTCACTTACCTGTTGTGTAAACATATTCCACCGTCGTTGATCGAGGTGCAAAGTAAGCTCATTCGTTCCAGGTGTTTGCGTTAAGCAGGGAAGGGGTAAGTAATTGCCTTGTCTCAGTCATCCCTGATCGAAGCACTGAACGGGATTAACGGAGTCTCTAATCTAGGACAGATCAATAAGTGATCCAAGGGATGGCCCCGGTTAATTGTTTAGGCGACAAGGTCAATAAGGGGCCCTTTTGGGGTTTGGCATTGGCTGTCGCCCCATCCCCTTTAAATGGTATTGAAATGTTCAGCAAATATTTTGTCTTGGAATCCTGAGTGAGTATGGTTTTACGTCTTTTTTAGCAACATTCCAGCAATATCATGGTTTTGGGGCACAGAAATGTGGTTTGAACACATTGTACCTATGTGGGGAAACCCCATTGTACTCATTCGCCACAATCGTAGTCATCGTATCTTTGATTCCAATCTGACCGCTCACAGTTGTACAAAGTGTACAGCTTTCTGTCGGAGAAAGGCTTTTGACAAGTCAATAACTGCTGAAGCTTATGATAATATAAACGGTTAAAATGATTTTTTAAGGAGCCCTTTAAGTGTGTTACTAAAATAAGGACATTGCATATTTGTCCGACATTATACATCAATAACACATTCTTTCACTGATTGGATCCACCTCCACTTTCCTATGGGTAAAGCAAACTCTCTCTCTCTCTCTCTCTCTCTCTCTCTCTCTCTCTCTCTCTCTCTCTCTCTCTCTCTCTCTCTCTCTCTCTCTCTCTCTCTCTCTCTCTCTCTCTCTCTCTCTCTCTCTCTCTCTCTCTCTCTCTCTCTCTCTCTCTCGTATGTGTGCGTTTGGCGCAGACTGATGGCGACTGGGGTTTCGGAACATGAAACTTTTACGACGTAGGTGTCAGGAATGAGTTGACTACTTTGTAATCAAGCCCTAATAGACTGAATACGTAGTAGTAGTAGCAGCAGCAGCAGCAGCAGCAGCACCAGTAGTCGTCGTCGTAGTAGTAGTAGTAATGGACACACACTTAAAAGATCATATAGCCGTATTTCTTAGATAAGTAGGGATAGATAATAATGAAAAGGCTATTATTTATAATAGTATTAGTAGACGACACACAATAACATGCCGTAATCTAACAGATACAATTATTAGAAATAAACGCAGCACAAAGTGTGTCTAGTTGAGACGGTACACATCCTTGCTGACACACTCATACAGGAATGCGGAAACTGTAAATGTCCCTGCTGGCTGCACTGTGTCGATAATGACTGTAACTGAAGAGGCTGCGTTAAAGGCTGTAGTGTGCCACGTCCGTGGAACATCTATCTATGAACAGACAAAGTTCCGCAATGTGCAGTAGTACCTAAATAAACATAGAACATCAGTACATAAGGAACAGACAGACAGACAGACAGGAACAACAGAACCTTAACTATCCTCACAAACAAGTTTCGTGTAAATTGCTAAAAAAATATAGCTGTGAAAATGATATGAATGGATCACTGAAAATTAGTGTTAACACCGGGTGTCCGCTAAAGGATAAGCATGTCCTGCCGTAGCTTCCGACATTAAACATATTTTTTTAAAAATGGAAGCATTCCGTGATATTGCTGGAGTGTTGCTAAAAGCGGCGTTAAACCATACTCACTCACTCACTCAATGTGAATGACCCCACACCATCCCCACCCCAAAACATTTATGCACAAATTGGTCCCCGTTGCATGTCATGTACAAAATCAATTACCCCCACCCCCTTCCCATATTTTTTAACCATGATTTTTTTTTTTAATACTTTTATGTACAAAAGTGCTTACCCCCTTGTACATATTTACAAAATTGATGACCCCAACCTGCCCAGAACAAAATGGGTGACCCCCTTAAAATCATCATCACACACGCACTAACGCACACACACTCGCCATAAATTATGAACGGTCCCTAAGCTACTGAGCTTATGATGGATCTCGGGGACTTCAGTCCACCAGCAGAAACCTGCCTATCCTCAAAACAAATACCATCTAGAGTAAAGAGAAAAGAAACTCACAAAATAATTACACGATGCGAATTGTTTTCCTGTTTGATTGTGTCGTTTAACTATTTGACAGTTAACCTAGCTTTCAGCAGCTTGTGTATAATTTCACGTGATTAATCCGGGTTTTAGTTTGATTTTGAGTGAGTGAGTGAGTTTAGTTTTACGCCGCACTCAGCAATATTCCGGCGGTCTGTAACTAATCGAGTCTGGACCAGACAATCCAGTGATCAACAGCATGAGCATCGATCTGCGCAATTGGGAACCGATGACATGTGTCAACCAAGTCAGCGAGCCTGACCACCTGATCCCGTTAGTCGCCTTTTACGACAAGCATAGTCGCCTTTTATGACAGGAATGGGTTGCTGAAGACCTATTCCAACCCGGATCTTCACGGGTCAGTTTGATTTGGAGGGAAAAACGTTGTCAATGGAATGGATGGAACGGGGTGACCAAAGACATAGCGCTGATTCCTTCATCTTCAGATTTAACTTCAGTGTTGTCTAATCTGGGAATATTCCAGCGCGCCTCATTAAGGTACCATGCAGGAGGCCTTGAAATAGAAGTATATAACACCCAACAGTCAAACAATCGTCAATGGCATCACAGCAATCAAAATTAATCACAGTTTGGTCTTCATGACAGTTTTATCCACCTAATGTAGCAATGTGTGTCTTTAACACCGCGGGGACATAAGTGTGGTGCGGGAGAACTTCAGGATGTAACAGTCGCGTATATTCAGCAGACAGGGATAACACGATGGCGGAGGGTACGTATACTTGTTGATTTCTGTGTCGTCAATGTACACTGCATGTTCATCATAAGTAAGTTGCTGGCGATCTATAGCCTGTTTCATATGGTGTTATGTCCGAATAGTGCCCTTATTTTAACATTAAATGCTTGTTATAAATCTGACCTTGATACTCTT